GGCACCTCTTCAACACGAGTGTGCCGTGCTACAAAACCATGGACACACTGTGGCGAGTGTGTTATGAGGCTGCTTACGCACGCGCATGGCTCGGCAAGTGCCTGGGTTCAAACCCCAGCAGCAGCAGTTGCATCCTAGATCTTAATAATATAAATCCAGGAGCGGGGCAGCGTGGGCGTGTGGCGCGCGCGCGCGTGCGGCGGCCTCGGCCTTGGCGCTTGCGCGCACGCGTTTTGATGCGGCTTCCTTTTTCGCCACGTGGAGCTCTCCTGCTGCAGCACCTTTTTTCGTTGTTTTTCCCGCGTTTTCCCGCTTTTTTGCCCGAAAACGCCCCAAAAACAGCCGAAAACCCGAGTGTCGGGTTTTGCTGTATTTCGCTACTGTGCGGTGTGGTGGGTGGGGGCGGGGACCGTTCCCGCTCCGATACCAATGTAGCGAACCCACCAGGTGTGGTGCTCCGCTAGTGACAGAGATGGAGATGGAGGAAGAAGGGGGAGCAAGATGGCACAACGCAGCTCCCCACGCAAGACTCCAACGCACATACTCCAAAATGTGCAAGTGAGGAATGAGACTGAAAACAGACAATGGCTGGGGTATACCCCAGCGGACTGACGGGACTGGACTGGACTGGGTGGAACCGACAGAGGTACCGGCCTGGACTGGCCTACCCCGAATATAACACAGGCCTGTGAGAACAGGCCAAGGGGCTCGTCTCACAGGCCAACCCGAGGTCCGCTACGGTCCGACTCTCAAATCTCAAGGGCCTTTCCTTTCCCTCTATGTCTGCCTGGATTAGAACTCCTAAGGCAGTTGGCCCCGCATCTGTTTCGACAATGAAGGGTCGTGTTTCTGAGGCATCATAATCTGGCGCTCCTAACACCAACCCTCCTTCTCGAAATTCCTCCTTCATCCTAGCCACCACCTCTTCTTGTTCTTCACCCCATACCCATTCCTGATCCTGACGGACTAACTTCCTTAGGGTTCAGTCTTAGCGGCAAAGTTCTTGACAAAGGCCCTCCAAAATCCACACGTACCAAGGAAGCTCCTGACATCAGTTATTGAGTGGAATGGAACCGGCCACTCAGTAATCTTGTCCGTCTTCTTCACGTCCGGCCTTCGGCCCTTCTCGCTGCAGACGAACCCCAAGATAGTCGCTTCCCTCATGCAGTGTCTGGATTTGGCCCCGCTTGCCGTGAGGTTATGCTCCTCGAGCAGGCTCAGGACTTTTTCGAGGTCCTGAATGTGCTTCCAAACAAAACGTCTTACCCCTGGCGAGACTTCGTCGCTTTCTTTCACCGCCGGCCCCTTCACCGCCAAATCATCGATGTATGGCTGTGTGATATGGGGGCTGACTGATTGCATAGCCCGAATCATGGCCCGTTGGACCATTGCTACCGCATTGGTCCATCCTTGTGGGGCCACGTTCATGTGGATTAGCCCTCGCGGCGTGTGCATAGCCGTCACAGGCCTGTCCGGCAGGTAGACTGGGAACTGATCATATCCTGAGTAAAGGTCTATAAGTGAGATTATAGGCCTTCCAACACAGGATTCTGACAGCGCGTCTGCATTGGGCAATCCTCCAGCATCCCGCACGGTCACCGCATTCAGCCTCTGCAAATCTCGCACCCACCGCAGCGTCCCTTTAGGCTTGATGAAGCAGAACCATGGGGACGCATACGGTCCACTCGAATAGTCAGCGACGTGCGTACGTATCTTGCCGTCGAGGTAATCCACCACCTTCTTTTCCTCATCAGGATTAGGATACCGCGCCCCTCTCATATTCCAAGGCTCGTGTGGCACGGTGTGGATGCGAATCATACGTATCTTATCCACATCCAGCCTGCCACGTTCCTCGTCGCTAAACGCATAGGCGCGATGCCTCCTCTTCATCAACTCCACCATCAATGCTCGCTCCTGAGGCAGTAGGAAGTCGGGCTCCCCTATAATCAACTCCCCTTCATTCCCTTCGTTGATACGACATGGTCCTGCTAAAGCACTCTCCCACATTCGTCGTATCAACCCTCGTTCCCTCTCATAATATGCTTCCTCGTCCTCTGTAACGAGGACGGGAACCGGGCGACACTTCTTGTCTACCGCCTTGTACTGCCTTTGGGAACCCTGCTTGAGCCGTCCCCTAAAAAAGGTCGACTCACAGATTGTGGTTGCGCTGATCCGGGGTTCCTTCCGCTGCCCGGGAGCCGATATACCAGCTCCAACCTTCCTGCCTCGGGGCATTCCAGAACCTGCTCTCTCAAGGCCTAGATGGCATCCAGATCTGCCATCTCATGCGCGGCCACCAAGTCCATGACCTTCCCTACGTCCGACAGGTTGAGGGAAAATGCTTCCACCCTCTCTCCTGCTTCGGGCTCTGCCCGGAGCCTCCGGCGCTCACCTTCCGACTCTTCTATCGTGAACGATCCTGGATTGGGCCGGTTCCTTATACTCCTTGGCCCTGTGTTTCTGCAGGTAATTATTTCGTAATTCCCACAGGCAGGGTCGCATAAGAGGAGGATTAACGTCCCGTCATGCTTATTGAATATCACGGTCTCCGTCCTGCTTAGGAATGACCTCCCTAGGAGGATTCCGTGATCCACGTCCGACATGATGAAGAACCAAGCCCTGGCCTTCACCTTTCCAACCTCGATGAGTACATTCAAGGCTGTCCCACAAAATACGGCCTTGCAGCTGGCTCCGTGCAGAATACCGCAGTCAGAACGGTCTATATCCAGCCCGAATTTGATTGCGTCTGCCTTCCGAATAATGTTCATTTCAGCCCCGGTGTCCACCATTGCCGCACACTTGGAGCTCTTTACTACCAGATCCACCGTGCCGTAGGCTACACTCTTCCAGTCCATTTTCGTACCCAACTCTGCCTCACTCAGCCTCCTTGGGCTGGATCGTACCCAGATGGACATTGGGCACCACACGCCGCGACAATCTCCCCTTCAATTCATCGCGGAGCCACGGGGCCGACGCTAGGATTTCCTTCAGGGTCATGAGCTCATTATGCCCTTCTAGTAGTCGGTCGATCACTTTCTCCACGTCAAACCCCTCCTCCAACCGAACCGCATATTTCTTCCTTTTGGGCGCTCCGTCGCGCACGACCTGCTCGACCTCTCCCCTGGATCCCTTTTTCCTTGTCCGCTGCTCCGCCCTCTGATCCTCTTCTCGGCGCAGCCTCTCGTGTTCTTCCACTTCATCATCGTCATCCTCCACTTCCACGGCCTCCTTTCTTTTTCCTGGCTCCTGCTCCCTCCTCGGAGGTTCTAAGCTGGCGCTGGCTCGGGCTTGATTTCTCGTTCGTGCTGCCTGCGCCAGTCGGGGTTGCGGAGTGAGGGGTCTCCCCATCATCCCCAATTGTGGGCACGATCCCACCACATTTACTCTGGGTCGCCCGGGCGCAAACTTCGGACCAGAGTCGTAGAGAAACACCTTGGGGATGCTAGACTTTCATTTCCTCACTTCCTCACAGAGGCCCACCAACTTCTGTTGATACCTCCCCATCTTATCTAGCAGGTCCTCCACTTTCCCTAACAAGACGGACGGAGGTTCCATCCTTTCTTCCTCATTTTCGTCATCTGACTCAATGATTATGGGTTCTTCCCCCTTACTTCCTCCTCGTGGCCCTTGAGTCACTTCCTTATCGTTTCCCACTTCCTCTACCCCAATCGGTGGTTCTTCCTTTTCCTGCCATAACCTGAATTCCCCTATCCCCACCGACGGTCTTTTCTTCTCCTGCCATAGCCTGAACATGGCAGGGGGTGGCGGCCCAGCTGCCGCCCTTCGTTGGGCTTCCGCCCTCACTCCTCCAAGCCTTCTGTCAATGGCCTCCCCAAACTGATCGTAGATGTTCCCATCCATAATGGAGGAAATCAGCCCGCTTCTCTCGTCTTCCCGCCTTATATTACAGAACCTTATAGTGTGGCCCTGTTGGTCACAATGTTGGCAGATGGCCGTCCTCCAGTCAAAACGGGGTCTTCCATACCCCTAACTTCCTTGATCCCCCTGGCCTTGATACCCCTGGCCTTGGTACCCCTGGCCTTGATTCCCTTGGCCTTGGTACCCCTGGCCCTGGTATCCCTGGCCTTGATTCCCTTGGCCTTGGTACCCCTGGCCTTGGTACCCCTGGCCTTGATTCCCCTGGCCTTGGTACCCCTGGCCTTGACCATTCCATTGCCTTCCTCTTCCGCTGCCATTCCGGCTTCGCCCCCTTCCTCCACCCCTCCCTCCATTGCCTTAATTGCCTTGCCCTGGTTCCCACCTCCAACCACGCTTCCCTGTGAACTGGGAGTGGGTGATGGCGGCGGGGCCACAGGCTGGGCCTGGGCTGCGGGGTAGATGGGTGGCGGCATACTCGCTTGCAGTCCGGCTACTGGCAGCGAGCTTCCCCATGGCACAATGGCATTGATCACCGGCCAGGGCCACTGTCCATAGGAGGGCGCCCCTCCTTGCGAGAGACCCGTACTAGATGATGGAGCCGCAACATTTAAAGGGGTTGTCGTCAAGGCCTGAGGCGCCTGCGCTTTTCCTGATCCCTGTCCGCCCTGCGCCAAGTTACACACTTTGCGTTGGGCCTTCATCAGGCGCTGCGGCACCGGCTCTTCCTCTTCCCAGAGCTCCTCCTGAACAGCCTCCTCTATCACCGGCTCCGTTCCTTTCACTTGGACAACCGTTACTACCCTCCTTTGCACCCCCGGCTTTGTCGCATACCCCAGCTGTGCCAATACGTCTGTAACAATCCTTGTTACCCCCGGGGTCCCAGAAGCGGTCGCATCCCTTTCCTTTCTCGTCTACCTTTGCAGGCGTACGTGACGTTGCTCCACCTGGTCCAAACACCCAACTTCCACCCCTCTGTTAATGGTGGCCCAGGTGAGCTTGGTGCTACCTCCTCCATGCCTCGTCAACTCGACGGCCTCCGATGCCGTGAGTAACCCTAGAAAAATGACGCACTATGCTTCCTCCGAAATCCCATAGACCTTCCGCGCCCTCTTCTTAAATTTTTGAACAAAGACCCCTATCGTCGTAAAATCCTCTTTGTTCATCGCCTCAAGGTCCACAGTAGGCAATAGCCCGTCTCCCAGGCGGTATTTCCTCTGCATCCCCTCCTTGAACCTCTCCCAGCTACCTTGAGCCGCATCTATGACTTTTTTCACTTCCTGGTGGTAGCTGTGGAGGACATACTGAAGAATGCGTTGGAACTTTATAACGTCCGACCGCCCTACCAAAGCTTGTTTCACCCGCACCAGCCATTCTGAAACCCTCTCCCCACAAAAGTGGAAGGTATCGACTTTAGGGATATTGCTCGGGTTCCTTTCATGTCGGTCAATGGCAGCAATGAGGTCATTGAGCGTCAGGCCCTTCTTGGGACCACTCGATGCGCCGCCGCCCTGCGACATCTTGACGGACTTTTCCCTTCAAGTTCCCTGATAAGAAAGAAAAAACAAGCATACTTCTTTTATTCAGCATCGCATCTTGACCGGTCTATTCCATCCGTCCTACCTATCTCTTACTACGTACCTTTACCCAATGCTACACGTCCGTCCTTCATACCTTCCCTTACTCAGGTAGGTAAATTTTCTCACCTATACTTAGTCATTCATTATCTTTCCTTACTTTCTAGTCCTTCCCTTATGCCTTTTCTCATCCACTTCCCATACCCAGATGTCGTTCCATCAGGGACAACGGTAGGCTTTCCGTTATCCCCGGCAACGGCGCCACCTGTCGAGTGCATCGGTCCGGCACCGCACCAGGGCAGCGCGGGACCCTCTCGGCCGCGTCACGCAGGAGTTGGACCAACCTCGTCTCGAACACACAAATGGAGCTTCCTTAGACCGCTCCGGCCGAGTGCGTCAGCCATACCTCTCACGAGCCCCTACGACAGGATAGGGCCTACGCGAGGCACGACTTACCTACACCTTACAGGAGCTGTCACCTCCCTTCGGTGGGCGTATCCCCGCCGAGCTACCAGTCCACAGTACGAAAGTTAATCAGTTGCAATCGCAAAGGTGGACCAGCCGAGGGCGTTTCTCGTTCGCTGTAGCATAGGGAGTACGCGCGGTAGTACGCCTCTATCGAACCCACACGCGAGCCGACATCTTGGGGGGCTGAAGTCCCAAGCGCGGCTTGTCGTCGGTCGATTAGGACACATCCCACACACCACGCGCACACCACTCTAACAAACACAAGACGACAACACACACACACACACACACGAAACGACATAACACAAAACAACGCGACAACACTCATAGCCCCTCGGTAGCCGACCCATAACTTTCCAATGCGGAAATCGAATAGGCGTTGCGCGCGAGACTCGGTATAAAACCGCGCGGACGCAGGGCTAACTCATATCGACCCGCAATGCAAGCGTACGCATGCAGTCACGACAATGGCGTACTATGTAGTACCCATACTTACGCGGCCCTCGTTAATCTCGAGGGTCGCGTTCGACACTCAAGTGTCAGCTGACACTCGCCTTGAGGGTTAATCTCTCGACGCTGGACAACCGCCATGCGCAGTTGAAGACCACACCCTCTTCTGCACCCTGTGCAGAGGGGTTGAGTAGACAGCTTTAAGCTGTCGTGGCAGTCGAACATCAAGGGGTTTGACTTTGACGGTTGTCACGGACTATAACGTCCAACTATAAAAACTCCAAAGAGTAAAAGATAACAGAGGATCTTCCTTTTCTCTCAAGCCATAATCCGGTTAACCCTTATGCACAACTGCAGTAGGCCTCTCGAACACTCAGGGCACTTATAAATATATAAGGATTAGTTATGTAAGATGATCACTTCTCACAGTCACAGTGAGGCTCCTTTCAGCTACATAAGTATGTAATCGCAGACAATCACAACCAGAATCCGAACCACAACCATACCTGCAATCACATCAACGAGTCAAATCAACAGCCCACGCGCTACACGGAGTCAACCCCTACCATCTTCGACACTCATACCCCTTGCTTTAGCCATGCAAGCCCCAAACCTYCTGTCCAACCAACCTTAATTAAATACTCAGCACCTTTATTAAATGGTCATTCAATAAAAGTCCGGGTGAAACCTTAATAAAACAATAAAATTCACCAGGGCTAAAGCCTTTTAGGTTGATTGTAGAGGGAGAATTGAAAATTGAGTCGTAGACCGACGAATCAGCAACCGACCTATTATCAGTGATAACAGAAAGTGATCCTCAAGGGATCAAGCTGGATCTAGCCCTGAACTTGAATCAAATGATTAAAAAGACCTGTAACACACGGCAGACCAATCCCCAAGCAAAGATCATAAGTGTATGGAGAATACAACTCCATAATACATCCTCACTCAAAATCTCCCTACAAGCTCAACTTAAGTCTACTTTTAAGTCAGTTCTTAAGCTAAAGGTAGACCAACTGCGGAATCTCCTCTATTCTAGGCGGGTCGCCTAAATCGCCACCTGTCAAAATATAGTCTATCTCCTCTAAACTAAGAAAATTTTGGCCGCGCTTCCCGTAGGAAAAGTGTCTTTCCAGAATTTATAAAAGCTCAAATATGAACGCAGAAATAATCTCTAACTCTGGAAAGTCAAATTTTGTCTAACTCTCTGAATTAGTAGAAATTTTGGCAACACTCCCTTTAGAAAGGGACACTTCCCAGATTTATACTAAGTCAGATATAAAAGCAGAAATAATCTCTACTCTGGAAAGTCAAATTCTGTCTAACTCTCTGAATTAGTAGAAATTTGGGCAGCACTCCCTTTAGAAAGGGAGACTTCCCAGATTTATACAAAGTCAGATATGAACTCGAACAACAGTTCGAGCTCAACTTTAGACTGAATTTAACTAATTCCTTAATTTTGTAGAAATTTCGGCAGCACTCCCTCTAGAAAAGTGTTATTCCAAAATTTATACAAGGCTAAGTTCAGATTTTGAAAGTAACTTTGGTTTCCCAAAGTTCAATTTTGTCTAACTCCCTGAATTAACAAAAAAATTGGGCAACAATCCCTTTACAAAAAGGAGACTTCCCATATTTTAACTAAGTTAGATATGAGAAAAGACAAAGCTGAACTTTTGAAGAGTCAAAATTCAACTAACTCCTTGGATTTGTAGAAATTTGGGCAGTGCTTCCCGTAGAGAAAGTAGCTTGCCAAGATTTATACAAAGCCAAGTATAAGAAAAGATCTCAGAAAATGGAAAAAAATTGACCTAAGTAAAAAAAAGGTTATTACAGAAAATGCAGGCTTTGACACTAACTCCTATGGCTCTAGCACGTGGCGAACAACTAAAGCAACTACCTATAAATCTGAAACCCAAACAAAACTAGTCATCCCATCCAGTCACATACAAACCAAACCACGAATGTAAGTACTCTCACCATCCCAAGTTCATTTTATATAAACAGTTCGTGAATCTTCAAGTTATTGAATCCTTATACCCATCTTACATAAGACATAGAGCTAGACCATTCGCCATGAAAACAATGCCCAGCTTGTCTTTATGATATACACGAACAGGTTGCACAACTACTTCTGTCTTCTTTTGGACAGATGACTAGGTCATTCGCCATGGAAACAATGCCTAGTCGCCCTGAGTTGTTTAATATCAAAAGATTTAATATTTCTCTGACCTTGTTTTTAAAAGAAAAGGCAAATATGGGCAGGGGACTGAACCATTCACAGTAGAAACAATGTTGAGCTTGCCCAAACTATTTCCACTTATACTTTGTATTTTTCATTTTCTCTTCTTAATGATATGTTTAATGCTGGACCATTCACAGTGGAAACAATGCCCAGCTGCCAGTTCACATGCAAATATACATAAAGTACTTTCCTTTATACTCAGTCTAATTTATGTGCGTGGTTTTCAGGCTAAACCATTCACCATGGAAACAATGCTTAGCCTTAGACCAAAAATTCTCCCTCAGAATAAACAAGAATTTAAACCCTCATAGTTAACTAGAGTAGACAGGTCATTCACAGTAGAAACAATGTCTGGTCCTCCAGAAAACAACTAGATAAACATAGCAACCAGGCCTTTCACAGTAGAAATAATGTCTGGTTCTTCAGAAAACAACTAGATAAACATAGCAACCAGGCCATTCACAATAGAAACAATGCCTGGTCCTTCAGAAAACAGCCAAAGAAACATAGCCCTGAGTCATTCACAGTAGAAATAATGCTCAGGCTTTGGTTGACCCTTCCAAAACGCATGCAAAACTGTTTTCCTCCCACCTTCCCCCAGTTCATCCTTAGTCTACTTTCAGTCAAAACAAAGATGAAACTTAAGCTTCACTCTCACACATTTTTTCCATTCAATCTGATTAGGTCTTGAAGAGAAAGCAAAAACCATAGGGACAACACATGCATACCGCAATCATACTACAGGGAGATAGGCAAACATGGGTAGTAGTGGGTTATACAGATGAAGTGGTTTACCTGATGGTTCCCTGYCTCCAGAACTCCTCCTGAGTTCCGGCAGAGCTCCCGCAATCGGTGGGTGGACTCCCCACAGAGTCTTGACGCGGACCTACGGGTTGCAATCCCGCCTGCCGCCTTCGTCTCGTAACCAGGACTAGACTGAGAGTTAGAAAGAATAGAAATAGAAAGTAGAGACTCTCAGATCCAAGAATGGTGCTCTCAGTCTCGCAAGAGAGGGCCTCGTAATCTTGGATCGCCTGAGGGCCCCGCAATGGCGGCCAGAAGTCTGCAGTCAGGCCGGCTAATCCCTGTTGGGTTCTCCACATTGGCTCCCAGGTGGTCCTCCCACCCTCAACCAGGTCCCTCTATCCAAAACTCCGCGTTTCCTTCGAGTTCGCCACTCCAAACGCATTAACAATGGACAAGCTTGTACTCACGAGGCTCCCTTTTGCCACTCTGCACCGCAAGATGGTCAACGCACCGGCCGGTAGCAAAGCCTACTCGTGGCCAACCTGTTGCTGCGCCGCTTATTGCTATAGGCAGAGCGTTAACCTGCGGGCAAGCCTCCAATCCCACGGCTCGCTCCTCGTTACTTCGCTGCAACAGGCTAGTAAACTTTTCTGTCATCCGGCAAACCTACAGTCTCCACGACCGGTCTTCTTGTTGCTCCGTCTGATGGGACAAGCAACATACTAACCAACAGGTAAGCCCGCACTTTGCAACTTGTCTCACGTCAGTCAGCCCTCGCAGTGCACCTGGTCAGCGAGCAATCTCTTTGCTCCCAACCTTACCCGTTCCAAGTCCTCGGCAACAAACCGCCGGGCCACGCACCTTCGCCGGTAAATTACTCTCCCTAAGCCAGACGAGTTAGACCGGATGGTTCTTCCAACAGTGCCTGAAAGGCTGTACCGCCTCCCTGCTGCAAACCACCAGTTCCGGTCAAGTGCGTTTCCCCGACTAGCCCGCCATCTACCCCTCACAGATAAGCAAGGGTGAGACTCACTGTCGATTTCATCATGGGTAAGTACATCATCTGCCATCCACAGCCTTCAGCTCCAGCTCGGTCAGGCATGCTTTCTTCTCTATAAAGCAAGGAGGCACATCACACTAAACCAGCCCACCCGTCCAACGTGGAATCATCGCTCGACGAGGCCTGCTGGACGGCAGGCAAAATACACAACTCGAACATAGCCTGGAATGCCAGCTTGCTAACCCAACTATAAACAGGACTAGGCACCTCCCCACGTCTTCATCGTCCTCAACGTATCTGGCCAGACTGTCTGGCCAGGCTCATTCAAAGTTCCAAAAATCACAGATTCCACAAAAAAACCTGCATAGCTCAACTCTTTCTCTTCTTCATTGCCTCGAAGTCTTTTTCTCTCTCTTTCATACCACTCGGCTGGCTTCACTCTACCTCCCTCGATCGAACAGTCCAAATCAGAATGAATCTACTCCCCAAACCCGACTGCGCCCCCG